TAGAAATAATTAGGGTGGGGATAACCTTAATAAAATACATTGTACTTCAAAGGGAGATTAAAGCTTTTTTCTTCAAGTTCAAAATTTTGAACTAAAATTATGTCAAAAATATTTAATGACTAAACGCAGTATGAAAATTGATTGAATTACTAAAATTGCTATAAAATTAGGGGTTGGTAATGAAAATGTGAAAATCTAGAGTTATGTGTATTTTAACGCCGCACTATGAAACAGTAAAAACCAAAATATTCGTCCTAACCCTTAAGAAGATAGTTCCGATTAAAAAAATATCTCGACGCTTCAAGTCATTCTGAATCGTTTGAGACCAAATTGAGAAAAGTAGGGTAGTGTTGTGCTTAAAGGTTTGTGGGTAAAAATGTCAACCACTATTATCGCGAAAACAAATTTGGCGACTTTTTACAGCTATACTATTTTACAGTGGAGGGCAAATGATGTGTAATCAGCAATCGTCTTAACGGTCACATTGTTCATTATTATTCCGATTCCGATTCCCAGACATACTGAGTACGAATATAAAATTTCGTAAAAATTGGAGTACGGGAACGTACATTGTGTGAAAGAATTTTTATATATATACTAGATGACCCGACAGACGTTGTCCTGTGCCCACGTCTACAATTCAAAAGTTCCAAATTTTTTAATATCCTTATACTTTTTAATATCCTATTTATGCCATGCTTTTGTGATTCATTTATTATGGTCTTGGCATAAGCAGTATAAAAAAATTAGAAAAAAATAATATAGTGTCTGCGGTAAAAGAACAATATCACACTTGATTTTACCACACAACATAATTGCTTCACTAATTTAGTCTGAAATTTCATTAAATTCGTACGATAAATTAGTAGCTTTTTGGCAATAATTTCTAAAGTACATAATAATAATTTAATAAACGTTATTGTTTAAGTTCAAATCTTTGGTGAATTAATTTGTAAAATCTAGTTCATACGAGCACTCTTCAATCCAAGATCAACTTGCTAAATATTCCATATCCAATGCCGTAATGCCAAACAAATGACAATTTTTGACACATGAAACAATATTCTGAAACATTTTTTTAATAAGAAGAAATATTTTGTTGTATTGTTAAATAATTTACTAAAGTATACCAAAATGCAACATGCATAAGTTTAAAAAAATAATGTAAATGCAATTTTGGACTTGCTGCGTTATTTATTAAAGTGAATTAAATAATTTCATCTGCCAAACATATAATGTTGACTGTATCTAATATTATTTTAATTTCTGGCACTACTCAGCTGCTTTTCGGCAATAATAATGTACACATTGCATTTTTTTTGTATATTATATTGTAATATTATCTAGGCTCATAATTTCAGCTAAATTTAAATTTCAAGTAAATTGACTTTTCTAGCACAGTTGACAGTTCAAATGTTCGCAATGTCATACAATGATAAATGGTTTTTTGAAATTTTGCCATTTATTTCTACAATATTACTATAGTTTTATGGTTCATTAAACCTTAAAAATTTCCTTTGACAAACTCTAGAAAGATTTATCAAAATCCGAATAACCGTTTAGGAGAAGTATCAAATCATACAACCCTACAGAAGAATTTTATATATAAGATAAAGCCATTATTAGTTTATTATTATTCACCATCAATTTCACTAATTCCATTATCTTTTATCCAGGGGTCAGAAATATTATTACAAAAATTCGTACGGCATGTTCGTGGGAAAGCTATGCGGCCTGATAGCAGTGCTGGCCGTGCCGACGATTCTGAGGATCCTCATGTTCACTCAGAGGTCCTCGGTACCGTTTACCGCCTACAAGAGGTACATCGCAACATTACTTCATACCACTTTGTGGTACGATATTAAATTGACGAAGGATTCGAGGTAAGTGAGATAAATGAATACTGGAACTAGTTTTAAGTGGCATAGTGTCTTAAGGCAAATTGCTGGAGATTCCCGTACCGTAACGAAATGTTCGAGGAATGAAAATAATCAATGATTGTTTTGAATAATTTCAAATAGATTATTATAAATTTATAAGTGCTTTATAAATTGGACGACAAGCGTATTCTACAAACAACTTATGTGTATGTTTACAAGAAATTTATTTATTTTTTAACTTCCCGCAGGATAAGTTATTGTAATGGGCCGAAAATCGGAATTGAAATTTTTTACATTTCTCGACGTTTTGAAGGTTTCTGAACGTTTTGGCATACCTCAGAAAAAATGGATGTGTGTGGGTGTGTGTGTATGTATGTATGGATACAATTTTCGTCCACGTTTTCGGGCGCACGAATCAACCGATTTGATTGGTTCAAAAAACATTCGATTCCTATTGATAAGGAGAGGTGATTAGTTTTTGGCAAAGGCAGGTCCAGCGGTTTCAGAGATACAGAGCTAAATGTGCAAAAAATGGCAGTTTTTGAGAGAACTAAGAGTCCGATTTAGATGATTCAAATAACTTTCTGCTTGTTTTATCAAAATAATTGATTTTGGAAAACAAAAATTTGTTTCAAAGTTTTTTTTTTTTTTAATTTTTGTATATCGAAAATAATTCAGATTTTATTTTTAATTCTGACTAAAGTTCTAATATACTTTAAACAAATAATTTCAACTTAGCAATTCAGTTTATATAATTCTTATAAATATTAAACTATGTTACTGTAATCATTAATAATAATCTATTTGAAAGCATTCAATATTCCTCAAACATTTTGTTACGGTACGGGAAGTTCCAGCAATTTGCCTTAAGGCACGATGCCACCCACCCCACTAGTTTTTAATTTATGTTTTTTGATAATTTTCAAATTTTGTCAAAATGTTGATGATTTTTAAAAGTTTGAGAATTTCTGGAATTTTTGAAAAAAATCGATGTTTTTTAAGTTTTTTGAGATATTGGAATTTTTTAAAAATATTTAATTTTTTTTTACAAAATTTCGAAATATTCTCAATTTTTGTAAGAAATCGTTTTTTTTTTATTCTTAAATTTTGTCACTGTCGTTTAGTTAAGACACAATTGAAAAATAATATTAAAATCACTACTAAACATTATTTGTTTTTGTGAAATTCTTTGTGAATTTTTATATTCAATTTTAATATATTTATTATTTTACAATTTTCTACACATTTTTATATTTAGTATCGATACACTTATATTTGATATTTGAACTAGTGGTTTATGGCATCGTGCCTTTAGGTAAATTTCTAGAACTGCCCGTACCGTTTATACACAAAATAATCAATAATAAATTAAAAAGGATAAAATTAGTAATAAATCTTTAACCTATCTTAAATTATTAACGTGAAAAATTATGTACTGAAATAAAACGTAATATTTGGATTTTGTATATTATTCATATTTATAAATTTTTAATGTATTTTTTCTGTCAAAAGAGTACATATACAACTTGAAAATGAAAAAAAATGTGATATATATTAGGGTGGTCCTTAATATGGACATTTTCGAATTTCTTTACTCCCAAGGGCTCAAATGCTTCCAAATTAATGAAAAAAAATTACCTAAATATTTTAGCTCTTAATATTAACATTTAGATAGTCCGCAATTCAATTAAAAGTTTCGTCAGTAAGTAAATTGTTGCGCCATCTGTGATAGCATTTGTGAACTCAAATATTATGACTCTTAAAAATATTTTAAATTAGCTAATCTCTAATTAAATCCATGTGGGCTGTTTAACGAAATATTTATTCATCAGGAAATTAAAATTAATTTTGCTGCAAAATATTTATTTAATTGGTGATGCAAATTATCGGTAATAAATTGATATCAAAATAACAAGTCTCCTATTACAGATGGCGCAAGAATTTACTTAATGATATTGCGGACTATGACTATCTAAATGTTAATATAAAGAGCTAAAATTTTTGGAGAATTTTTTTTAATTTGAAAGCATTTGAGCCCTTGGGAGTAAAGAAATTTGAACCATCCCAATTAATATATACATATTTAATATGCCGTTAATACAAATTGAATGTTTTTTGAATTATTCAAATCGGTTTGTTTATGCTTTTGAAATCGTTGACAAAAAATGTATTCACACATACACACACCCATTTTTCTAAGCATACCCAAAATGTTCAGAAAGCTTTGAAACATAAAAATATGCAAAACTGTCTCTATACAATTTTAAACCTACGGGAGTTAAATAAAAATGTATTAAATACATAATTATTATTTCCAGATCCTGGAAATCGCTTATACAAGTGCGCAAACGTCACTTCCAGGCTGGTCAATCAGCCTGTGCCAAAGGTTTAGGGTCTGTGACCCAAAAGGACTTGGCATTGACCCAATTCGGTTTTATGGGCTTTATTTTGATAAGACCAAAATTTCTGGGCATACAATGCGATGATAAGAAGGACCGAGAGGCTTTTGTACACGTTTGGAGATGCGTTGGGTATATGATGGGGCTGGAAGACAGGTAAAAAAATTAAACCACAAATAAATTTTTGTTATTAATTTTGAATCTATTTTTAGGTTTAATATTTGTCGTGACTCTTTAGAAGAAACTGAAGACTTATGTGAAGTGCTTTTGGCAAAATATTTTGCACCATTGTTATCAACGTACAACAAAGATTTTGAGGACATGTCCAAAGCACTTTTAGAAGGCATGTGGACCTTTAACCCCTTCATCCACTTTACAACGTTCATGTACTTCACGAGACGTTTATCTGGTGTATCAGAGTACAAATTTCCTTTACCCAACATCGTGGACAATAACGACAATAACAATTTGAAAGAAGACAATACTAAAATCAGCAAAAAATTGGTAAAAACTATGCATTGGTATCCAAAAGCATTATTATTTTTCATGATTTACGTTTTGGAGGTCACAATGCGTTTCAGGATATTCAGGGAGTACTTTAATTCACAAATTAGACTGTCGTTGTTTTTAATCAAGAACTTTCCGTTTTTAGCTTTTTTTAAATTTAGCGCGTACCAAAAATGTTTCGTCGATATCCGGATAGAAGGCGCCAGCGAAGTAGCTGTCAGATGAGTAGAATGTCAGTTTGAAAAAATGTTAAACTTTATCAAAAATGAGGATTAGATCGATATAAAACTCAATCTGGTATTGATTTAGTGCACAATTACTTAAAATCTACGTTCAAACAAGACTTGGAATGATTTTTTTTGTAAAAATTATTCTAAAGTGTCTTCAGTTAGATTTGAGGAGACAATGCGTTTTAGGATATTCAGGAAATACTTTTTTAATTCACAAATTAGATTGTCGTTGTTTTCAATCAAAAACTTTTTGTTTTTAGCTTTTTTTAAATTTAGCGCGTACCAAAAATGTTTCGTCGATATCCGGATAGATGGCGCCACCGAATCAGCTGTCAGATGAGTTTTAAGCAAAATGTCAGTTTGGTAAAATAATGTTAAATTTTATTAAAAATGTGCAAAAGATTTATATAAAACTCAATCTACTATTGATTTAGTGCACAATTACTTAAAACTATATTTAAACTACACCTGGAATGATTTTTTTTGTAAAAATTATTCTAAAGTGTATTTGGTTACATTTGAGGTTATGTTTAAGAAATAGTTTTAATTTAAATTAGTTTTAATTAAAACCAGTGATAAAGGCTATAATAGACTATATATAGGTGATTTTGATGATATTAACTACAAATGTAAGTTTTATTTTAATTATAATATATAGGTTGAAGATTTTATATCACTAATTGCAAACTGAAAAAATTTGCCCGAGGAAGATATGCATTTTACTAATTGAAAGGTTATAACGGCTGCCATTCAGTAATTGTTTCTGTTTAATCAGAATTACCATGTACTAGTTTTATTTATTATCATTGAATATAATTTTGCACAATTCTCTTCGTAATTAAAATAGTATGTTGTGTCGATAGTTGTATCGATAGTACCAGAATTTGTTATGCAGTTTTTTAGGTTCAAAATTTTCAAGCGTTGGAATATGTTTAAAATAAAACATAAAACGTTTTTAAAAATTCAAGACAACTCTGGATAAAATTCCTGAATCCGAGATAACTTCTAAAGTTATTGTTTCTGAAAGTTCATCACAGTTTGAGTTGATGTATGAAATCAAAGCTGGAGTTTTTTCCGATAAAAGCTTGAACAAAGGGCTCAGGACAATCCGGGACAAAAATTTTGAATTTGAGACAATTAATGGTTTTTGTCTAATCTGGACAAAGAATGCAAATTCAAACGGTTAAACCTTAATCTTACTTGCAAACTGGTAGCCTTGCATTTTATATAAAAATAGATAAGAATTATTTCCAAAAATTACTAAAGTTTCATCTATGTGTTATGAAACCCTTTCCGAAAAAAAACGTGTCCTCGAAAATGATTCATAAATGCACAGATCAATTACTTCAAAAATTTGGTATTAAATTATTTGAATTATATATTTAATTTAAAGCAATTTTAGACTGTTATATTAAGGTATACGTTTAGAAGGAAGAAACTATCATTTTTAAATCCTAAATTACTTCGATTCACAGTGCAATATGCAATATTATATTATATACGAAGGTAATATTTTTAGTATTGTAGTTTTAGCAGTATGCAAAATGGAAAATATAAAATATTGTGAAAATAAATAAATGATCATGAAAATTACCAGAAAATTAAACTATTACATTTAACAATAAGTACCTGGCATATATTAAATTGTGCCTTGAGTGAATTAATAACTGATATTATTATGAATAATGTAATATTTAGTACTTATGTAGTTTAAATTTATACTTAAAGCCAGCAAGTCAAAAACGTATACATAATTAGATTATTTAGTTCTAAATACTAAATGTAAATATATATTTTTGTAATAAAATCTTTATGAATAAATCTGTGCGGACATTTATTAATACACACAAATAATTTTTGTACTTTTAACTTCCCATAGGGTAAGTTATAGATAGCAATGGGCTAAAAATCGAAAATGAAAACTGTTGCATATCTTCAAGTTTCAAAGGTTTCTGAACATTTTGGCATACCTCGGCAATAAATGGATGTGTGTGTGTTTTGTGTGTCCTCATTTTTTCGACACGTTTTTGGGTACACGGTTCGATTCCTATTGATAGGGAGATGTTCTGATTAGTATTTGTCAAAGCAGGTCCAGCCGTTACGGAGATACGGAGCAAAGAGTGCAGAAAATAAAATTTGAGTTTTTGAGAGAACGGAGCATCCGGTTTGTATGATCTAAAAAACATTCAATTAGTAATAATTGGGAGAAGAGGTGATTACTTTTTGGCAAAAGCAGGCCCTGTCGTTTCGGAAATACCGAAAAAAATGTACAAAAAATGGCAGTTTTTGAGAGAAATAAGCATCCGAAAATACTGCTTGTGTTGACAAAACAATTGCTTTTGGGGAAAAAAAAATCATATCATTTTTTTTTTCAAAACTCGAACATTTCGTTACGGTACGGGAAGTTCCAGCAATTTGCCTTAAGGCACGATGCCATACGCCACTTTTTACTACTTCTGAAACTTCTGCTTCAAAGTCTTCATTTCCTATTTCAGTGCTTTCAATCACGTATATTTTTTATTTCTCGCTAAATTATTTCATAATCTACATACTTATTCATTCTATTCCATTCAGTTCTTCTACTTTTTCGTTTGTAATATGTGCAGAAAACATTTTTTTCTATATGGGACTCAACGAAGTTTTTGAAGTAAAACTTGTTTAGGCGCGACTAGGGAGTAAATCTGTGAAAATGCAATGGAAGAGCGTTAGGCTCGAGTCGAGTGAAAATGATTGGTCATTCGCTCTCGATGATATCAACTTTATACGGTTGGATTGTGTTTGGTCGTCGTTATAAATAATGAAGAATGAATTGATATTCTAAACAAGAAATCGAGCACAACAATAGTTTGTGTAGCTGTGTATTATTTATATACAGATATATACTTTATAACGGACAGTTTATTTATTGATAGTGTTAACAAAATTTTTTTTTGTTAACTTTACAATCCATGTTCCTAATCCGTAGAGAGTCATACTACACATATGGCATCTTATCAGCTTTTTCAGAGTAGTTTCCTTTTCATATATCTACTCTGAAAAGATAATAATGTGGTAGCATTCCTTATTTGCTTTCACCCAATTCACTAGAATATGATCAGGACTAAAGGTTTCTTCCAATTATTAAATAATATTGTATACTGTTTATGGACAATTGATATTTTGACACATGTGACATATTTTTATATTGAAAATATTTATATTGCAGTTTATATATTTCTTTTTTACTATTATTAAAATATACAGCGATGTGTACACCAGAAGAAGGGTAATTATAAACTAACACTGAATTGCTAAGATATAATAGAGATGTGTAAGAATTGACTTAATCAATCGAAATTGAAATTTAGATACTTAGATAAAATTTTCAACTGTTTATTTCGGAAATAAAGTTTTCGCTTTCAATAAAATCTATGCATTTCGGTTTTGAATAGAATTTTCTCAAACACATTTAAAATAACTGTAATTATATTAATTATATTGCACAGACACTACGTGCATTGATTTTCTCAAACTTTGATAAATATTTAACATTAAACTATTTGTCGTAGGGCCGTAACATTTTAGTATGTTTTATAAGATCATGATATTTATTTCCAGAAACGGTACATAAAAATCAGCAAGAAAAAATTTCAACAGTTAATTTCAAAGAAACGGCCCGTTGGATTTTTACCCGAAACTAATCAGTATCATTACCAACCAATATTTTTCGAACGGTTTTTGAATTTTCAAAATCGATTCAGAATTGCGGGCTAAAACGTAGACGAAAAATTGTTCACTTTTCTGCGATTTATAAAAAAACTGCTTGGCCGATCGTCGCACAAAACTGACAAACAATAGTCCTCATCGAGATACATCGAATGGCTTCTAAATTTTTGAAATCGGTTCAGCCGTTTTTGAGAAAACGGCGATTTACGGCAAAAAAACTGTTCACATACACACACACACATACTCACACTCACACTCATACCTTTTCCAAATTTGGTCTTATTGGATTCAGAATGGCTTGAAACGTCGAGAAAACATAAAATTAGAGAATCGGATTTTTTGATGAAAACATAAACTTCTCCTTCGGGAAGTTAAAAATCAGCAAAAAAAAAATTTTGCGAAGGTTTATTTATACGCTCGCTGTTTTTTAGTGTTAAAATGTCTGTGGCATACCACCATTACCAAAATATTCAAAAAAATTAATTTTTGCGAAAGTATTATGACTATAATTTGTTTAAAAAAGTTATTATTTTAAATTAAAAAGTTAAGTTTGACTAAAGATTTTGTACTTATTTTATTCTTATTGTTCTTATTTTGTTTCAACAATTTTAAACAATAAAGTTTTAAAGATTTTGTAAATAATGAAATTTTCTGAAAAAAAGGCGTAAGCCAGTCAATGTAAATTTCGAAGGAAAATCTAAAAAAACGCGATTTGCGAGAAATTTTTTGGTTTAAAAACAATGAATTGACATTATTCTTACAGTAAAATTGGAAGAAAAATCTGAAAAAACGTGATTTGCAAAAAATCTTAAGAATCCATTTTTTGATTTAAAAACATTGAATTGACATTATTCTTCAGAAAATTACAAAATTTGTAATATACAAAAAATAAATTTTATTATATAATAAATGTATATAAAAAAATTATTGATAATGCAATGGACTAGACTAGAAGATCATTTATTCAACTTTTCTCCCAATGTTATGCTTTTTTATAACTTATTCAAGCAAAATTGAATATTTTCCAGTTTGCAACGTCTCAAGAACATCCCCGGCCACTACTCATCCAGCGATGTCATCACTCCTGGTCATCTGGCCAGAAACACTCAGGCGAACGTCGCTAAGCAATTGGCCTACGTCGACAAGAACTACATGTAGGTCGAATGATAATCAAAAATCGAACTTTTATTAATATGTATTAAAAATACTTTTTTATTATCATTATAGACCTCCGATGCCGGAAACGATACCACCAGCCATCGTCATCAGACACTCTGAACGAAATAAGGAGTATTGGGCTCCCAGACCAGTCGATTGCGCCTGGGACACTTTCAATTTGCATAGAAAGCTGTTTTTGGAATTAGGACCGGAGGATATTAGACCGAGTTAGTAATTAATGAACTAATGGTGTAAAGTAAAGTTCTAGGAATAAAATTAATTGCTAATTTTATAAACCAGATTTCTATGGAGTCCGATATTGAAAGAAGCTTTTTGTACTGGTAAACATAGTATTAGATTGTATTGAAGTTGTTAAGAGGCCGTCCATTAATCATATTATTAGAATTTTTCACTTAATGATTTATGGATATATTTAAAATTATCCTTCTAAAAAAACGTAAAATGTTTGTATATATATGTAGCCGAGCAAATCATTTGATATCAAAATCGTACATCAAATTAGTTTCTTTGTAAAGTCTCGAGTTATCAATAAACTCGCATTATCAACGCGCTAATATAGTGTCACCTACTGTTTCATTTCAAAATATACTTAATTAATATGTAATGGCTCACTTGCGCCGTATATATACTAGCTGACCCGGCAAATGTTGTTTTGCTAAGTAAGGTATATTCAAAACAATTTCTACAGAATCAACAAAAAATAATATGTTTGGTGATATAAGGATGTGTTGTTTGAATGCTATATACAATGAGGTATTATAAACCCCATTAGTTTGTCTATATTTTGTCAATACAATCAAACTGGAAGTTTTATACACTTTCTATAGAAAACATAGAACAATCTTTAGAAAACAAGTAGAAACAAGTCTTTTTTGGTCTTTCGACTTATAGATTACGTTTCAAGTTTTTCAGATTCTTTTTGGATTCTGGATTTTGTGTATAATTGTAAATAATACTACTGACCTTATATAAAATTTCCAAATTTCTGCGAGGGGAGATGGAAAATGAATTAAGTATTTCTTCTGTGACCTGCTTTTTGAAAAATTTCAAGTAACATTTGATGACTTAAAGTAAATTTAATAAAAAGTATATATTTAGAGCAGGGCGAGGCACAAAAGTCCAATTTGACTTTGAGCAAATATAAACTATATTATAAAAACCAAACCAATTATATCACAACAAATAACACATTTCAAACAAACAATTATCTGACTACGTTCAGTAAACTGCCTTCTACTTCATCATTGTAGAAATGTGTTTTTTTAAAATGTCTTTTAAAAATTTGTTATCTAAACCTTCTTACCCTTTAGGCGGAGTAACTAGGAACAGCCAGGTGGCAAACAGGTTTGATGTCTTTAAAAGGTATTTTACAAAATAATTACATTTTTAACTAATGCTAAAAAACCTCCAACGGAAGAAAATACTTTTATTATGGATTTTCAAAGATTACCGTTTATTCCCCGATAGGAAAGTTATGAGAATCAAGGTTATAGCTGGTTAAACATCTTTTTCCCTCTACTTTAAAATATTGTCGTTAAGCAATGCTAAACTTCACTGGTTTTTGACACATTGGTGGTTGACCTTTTTAACCTCGGACCTGCATATATTACTATATATTCTTCGATTCTGGGAAATCATAACGGGAAAAATGTTATTCGACAAAATGTCTATTTGATCGATACCAAATTTAGATAACAAATTAGAATTTAAATAACAAATACAAAATAATATAACCTAGAAAATATTTTATTAATACCAATGAGTATATAATTATACAAATGAGATCTTACAGAGCACCGTGAATGAGAAAAATATGCCAAACAGTGCATTTTCATATTAACATTTCAAAAAAGTTGATATTTTGAGTCTCTAGTAACGCTTGCGGCCCGTTTACTAACGTTTTTGTATATAAATAAAACTACGAACAAATCTACTTACTACAATTTAATCATAATTAAATAATATTCACGTAAAACATCCTATTAAACGTAATTGAACATCATCTGTCAAAAAGCGTTTGACATTCACGTATTAGCCACCGTATATTGTTTTATTCAAATTACGCTTCTACAAAAATTTTCAAATTAAAAATGAAAAGTTTCTACGCGATTTGAAATATTATCTCGCCTTTCCGACAACCTACTGGATTGGCACGAATTTTTCAAGACTAAGAGTGGCCAAATCGGTTTAGCCGTTTTCGAGTTTTTCCGAATCATTTGATCGATCATTTATCTATTTGATCGATTTGATCGATCATTTATCTATTTCCTCTTTCCAGGGAGACACAACATTTTCCCGAGGCCCTACGACATGGAACTGGAGTGCATAAAGTACGAGAGGCACAAGATCGGTCTCCGGGAATTGGAGAAATACCGTGTCGTGTGCGGCGAAGAGAAGAAGGACGCCGCCGAAGAGGCCCGAAAGGCGCAAGAAATCGAAGAGGAGAAGAGAAAGGAACTGAGGTGGACTCAGTGTCTGGACGAACTGCCCATTGGGTTGCCGGTCGATGAACGACTCAGGAGGATGAACAAGTAAGTGATGAACAAGTGTTAGTTGGAAAGTATTGTCATGTGGTAATAGGGAAAGTACGTACAAAATGACATGGTATTGTGTTTTTCAATTATATTTATTAATATTGTTCGCGCCAGAATCTTCTTAGATGTCGCCAGTTGATATTGGTAATAATCAGACAACACCTTTTCTCTGGCAATCCGCAAAGATTTGGACGTAATAGCTAATCTGACGTGTGAACGAGGAAGTTCTCGCCCTAGACAATATGTTCTCGCTGTCTGGCTTGTCACGTAGGCCATTTTTCATTGGTGTTCCGTATGAGTTTAGTTCATTTTCCGAGAGTTCGATGTTATTGGTGAAAATAAATGTTATTAAACTCATCCAGTGTTTCTTATTGTGCTTCTATAGTCAATCCTACCTCAGTATCCATTCCTTATAGCGATCTGAGAATTCCAGACTTGAAGACATTCTCCGACTGGGCCGCCGAACAGCAGAACACACCGAGTGAATTTTCCTTAATATATTCAATTATATCAAATCCTCGGAATAGTTATTGAGTCAAATTCAATTAGCTATTCCGAAAGGGTCTAACTAACCCCCATCCGTAACAAATATTGTAATCAGTGTCAATCGTTTTTATTTATTTACACCAGGCATCGGCAACCTACGGCACGCGTGCCAGGCTTGGCACGCGACGGCGTTCTGCATGGCACTCTACAAAATAATCAGGGCAATCGCAAACATATCGAGACGAAGTGATTTTTAAATAAGAAAAAATGTTGAAATATAATTACTTATCTAATGTAGCTCGCTAATGTAATTCAATCTACATTGAAGCACTTAAAGATGAATTTTCCAGATGCAAAGACTTTAAAGCTTATGTGCCTAAATTTTCCTTCCTCATAAAACCAGATTTCATAGATCCATCAATAATACCGTTTGATTTTTCAATTTTTGAGTGGATGAATGTTGATGATTTTGAAATGGAAATTATGGAACTAATATCTTTAGAATTATGGAAAACAAAATTTAAGGAATTACGAAAAAATCAGGAAGACGACTCCATGGAAAATTAAATTGTTGGATGACATTGTCGGAAATATTTAATTGTTTAAAGAAAATTGCATGCGTTATCTTTTCACCTTTTGTTCCACATATCAATTTTACACCCATTGTAGTATTTTTACACCCATTGTAGTATTGTTTACAAACATTGTAGTAATTTTGCACCCATTGTAGTATTGCTTACAAACATTGTAGTAATTTTACACCCATTGCAGTAATTTTACACCCATTGTAGTAATTTTACACCCATTGTAATATTGTTTACAAACATTGTAGTAATTTTACTCCCATTGTAGTAATTTTACACCCATTGTAGTATTTTTACACCCATTGTAGTAATTTTACACCCATTGTAGTATTGTTTACAAACATTGTAGTAATTTTACTCCCATTGTAGTATTTTTGCAAACATTGTAGTAATTTTACACCCATTGTAGTATTTTTACACCCATTGTAGTAATTTTACACCCATTGTAGTATTGTTTACAAACATTGTAGTAATTTTACTCCCATTGTAGTAATTTTACACCCATTGTAGTATTTTTACACCCATTGTAGTAATTTTACACCCATTGTAGTAATTTTACACCCATTGTAGTATTGTTTACAAACATTGTAGTAATTTTACACCCATTGTAGTATTGCTTACAAACATTGTAGTAATTTTACACCCATTGTAGTATTGTTTACAAACATTGTAGTAATTTTACACCCATTGTAGTATTTTTACACCCATTGTAGTAATTTTACACCCATTGTAGTATTGTTTACAAACATTGTAGTAATTTTACTCCCATTGTAGTAATTTTACACCCATTGTAGTATTTTTACACCCATTGTATTAATTTTACACCCATTGTAGTAATTTTACACCCATTGTAGTATTGTTTACAAACATTGTAGTAATTTTACTCCCATTGTAGTATTTTTGCAAACATTGTAGTAATTTTACACCCATTGTAGTATTTTTACACCCATTGTAGTAATTTTACACTCATTGTAGTATTGTTTACAAACATTGTAGTAATTTTACTCCCATTGTAGTATTTTACACCCATTGTAGTAATTTTACACCCATTGTAGTATTTTTACACCCTTTTTATTAAGGCACGATGCCATGCACCCCACTAGTTAATAAAATGTTTAAAAGATAAATTTGGTTATAATTCTTCTCCCCCAGAACCTGGTTATATATTTCAGAATTCAGGCGGCACCCTGAATCATATTGGTAGAGTGGCTCGGCACACCACAGTTAAAAGCTTGCCGACCCCTGATTTACACTACCAATTATATGGTCTTTTAATTTAGTAGAAACTGTAATAACTAATTTATTGAGAACTAATAACAAAAACCATTTTGTGCATATAGT